AAAGTCCTTAACATAAATGAGGAAGGAAATCCAGAATTGTCTTTTTTGTTTGAAAATGTCATTCCCCAGAATATTTGCAGGATATTCCAGCTCAATAATGCGCCACCATGGACCAAACCTGCCAGAAGTAGTAACATGGAGCCAGTGGATTTGGGCTATACATCAGGACCCTTCTCTGCTTACAGCCTTTCCAGCATAGATCCTTGGTTTCCTTTTGCCATAACAGCGATCGTGATATAGCCACTACGCTGGATCTTTCTTTCACACTATTTTCAAGGCTAATGGTCTCAAACCATCTAACAGATACAATTCGACAGACCTTGCTAAGATAATACTTCTATATAGAGAGCAAAAGATCTAAAGAAACCAATTTACCTTCAAGATTAATAATTCAGAAACCTGATACCCAGTTTTGAAAAGTCACCTGGAAGTCTTGGAGCTGAATACCATAATACTTTGGTTCCTAATTGTGCAAATCACATCTGAAAATTAAGCCTGACTCTTAAATCACTTGGTTATTATTTTTAAAAACAGCCTTCAGTTCTCCATCAGCTGCAAAAGCTATCTGTCCTGCATATAGGATCTTACTCCGACTTGGATAATCTGATTTCTTTATAGGCATGTAACATGCATGCATATACACGTGCAGCGTGGCAGAGTGGCTCGGGCACTGGAGCGTGAATCAAAACTTGCATCTCTTCTCAGTGCTGCCCTTCACCTGCACGTGACCTTGTAGAAAATACTTCACTATTCTGTCTCTACTTCTGTCTGCCCTTTGACTCTTTAGGTCACCAATTATTCCCTACCAAGCAATTATGCACAGAGATCTACTTCAGTTAAGTTTAAGTATTTCTGCAATAAAAAAGAGGAACCAGCAACTATCGTGGACAGCAAGTTCTACAGCAGGGAACTAATAGTCAAAGAACGTTTCTGCTGGCATCTATATAGACATTAAAATCTGGTCACATATTTTTCAGGTTCATTCCTCCTTTAATAAACATTTACCAATAGCCTTTCCCCTCTTTCTTACAATTTAATGTTAAAACCACTTTAAAATGTCAAAGGCTCAGACAGTGAAGTGGAAAAATAATTATTTGAATGCAGTCAGCCACTGTATCTTCTTAGTCTAATATTAATGGGAGGAAATGGAAGATTGTCACTGAATTTTAATGAATTCATTAGTTAATTATTGTAAAGCCCCATGAAAGTGCTAAGAATGATTATGACTTTTATTCCCAAGAAATTTTTTATAATGGCAGAGATGGACCTCCCACAATGACTTTTCTCTAGGTTCAAAATACACGACTGGTGCAAAATGGCATTTATTAATTCTTTGCATAATTCAAGTACAGACTTATCATCAGAGTGAGATACTGACATATCACCATACAAGTAGCAGCTTTTTCCTTTGTTAATAGGTTCATTTAACTGAACAGGGTTAGCTGTACTATAGGGTACTGCTCAACAGGAACAAGGACGGTAAGTTAGCCAAAATGTGTACTGCCTTTGCTGCACACTGAGCCACATTAAGCCCTAACATAAATTAACAGAACTCTCTCAGACGATTCACTGAACCAAAAGTGTCCTTCTGCCAGGCTGAATTTGGCCCACCATCCCTAATTCTGTTGAATTTAATAAGATAAACATGTCTTTTCATTTCCTGACCACAGATAAGGCTGATAAAATATTCTGGAATCAGTCACCAATTTGAAGACCTAATCATTCAGCCAGCCAGGCAAATGGAAAAGAGAAGCTTTTCTCATTAAGTAATGTCTAAGGAAAAGTTTAAATCCGTATTCCAATAAAACATCTTGGTATTTGTTGCTGCAGGACCCGAGCATGCAACAACGCACTGTGCATTTTAAAAGCTGTCTCACAGAAAGAGATGTGTATGTTCACGGAAAACAGAACCTTTTCTTTGTAAATGTTTACACAGGAACCTTTGGCAGAGAAGGTCCCTGACATTCAGAAATGTTTGTCACCGGATCTCTTTGTTTCTTTTCCATTCAAATCATCTCCTGCTCCAAGTTGAAAGCACTACCATCCACTATTTTATATCAGTGACGACTCAGATCTCTCTGACTTTTCTAAAATTGATTTTTCTAAAATTCATCAGTTGACTTGGTTTGTTTACATAAATTGTCCTTCTAGGCCAATTTCCCACAACATGCAATAGGATAACGATGTCAGAAGCTCTTCAAAATTGGACTGATTGGTTAATACACTGAAATTGGGAACTTGTCTACATGTAGTGGCTGTGTAACAAGAACACAGCCTTCAGTCACTATTCATGACATTGGCATTTTTAGGCTGTGAGACAGGTTAATGCAGAAGATGACATACACGTAACACCTACTGCCTCAATGGCTTCCATTGTAGAAGGAAAACCCATCCTTTGCATTGTCATGATATTTATTTTAATTGATCCACATAAAGTGATAGGGAGCCCGATGGTCAAAATCCTGACTGTTAAAGCCAAAGACAGAACTCCCCTTGAGCTCAGCCTCTTCCTTTCGTCCCTATTCTGCCAAGTTCAGTGCCTAACAAAGTTGGTCAAATTTTTTAAAGTGCCATAGTTGAAAAATATAAAACTGACAGCCACAGCTGAAAGTGAGAAACAATTACAGGAAAGTCGCACCTTTTCCATCTCGTCTCATATTTTTACTTGCAACTTGTACAGGAGAAACCTGCACTACACTGCTCCTTCCTGCGCACGTACCACCAGCACATTTCCCAAAGGTGTCAGCAGCGGCACAAGTCTGTATGGATCCAAACCACAAATGCCACAGCCACAGGAAAAAAAAAATGTAGCAAGAATGGTCCCCAGCAGAAGCATCTTTTGTAACAGAACAAAACACGGGGAGATCACAATGAATAAAGAAGAGGACAAGGAGCTGTGAAACAAGTGAGTGTGAGTGGCAGAAAAGAAGAACAGAGGGAAAGTTAAGTGGAGTAGGAAAGCACAATTTCTTCCTTCAAGTTTAAACAAAAGAGAAACAGAGGGAGAAGGCCTGGCTTATGAATTAAGGAAAAAACAAGCTCCTCTCCCTTTCTGTCTTGAAGGTTGTGAACTTAAATACAAAAACAAGCCTCAAAAGGCTTTATTCCTCATGGCATCTTTTTCTTCTCAAAAAAAAAAAAAAAAAAAAAAAAGGGATCAAGAAGCTAAACTGTATGACTGCAGGGCAAACCAGTGCTACCATGGACCTAAAAAAAAAAAATTAAAACTAAAAAAACCCCTACAAATGAACTCCTGTGCTTTCCAGATCTTCCTGTGGTCACTGCAGTCATGTTCAAGGACGACTCCCTGTTTCAGAGAAACACAATGTCCAAAATGCTCTCCTTAGCAGGTTACTTTTGAAACTTGAGAAACTGAGTTCTAAAGTACAATTTCCTGCTGTTTCTGAAGCAGGGAAATCTGATCAGATCTTTGGGGTGGGCTGGGGGGTGGGAGGGTGTAAAAGACAAAAAACCTTCTTACTCCAATACCTTCTTATCCTTCACAGTGGCTAACTCAAGACTTTAACCAGAGATCAGAAATGACCATCAACCTCCAATAATGGCAATTCCCAGTTAAATTTGCATAATAATGTATCACACTTAACTACATGAATGCGGATCTCATTTACACCTGAAGATTGCTTTGTACTTGTAAAAGTACTGTTTCTATGTGTACCAATAATTTTAGTTTGCAAATTGAGAGCCAGACTGAAAATGAGATACAGATTCACTAAGATCTTTCATCTAAATTCAAACATTAAGTTAAGGTAAAAATGTAAGACATACGAACACAAGGACACTCGCAAAGGTAGTAGAAATTGCAGGTGCCTGAAATATAGTCACTAAATATAAAAATTATTACAATAGACAAAGAGCAGTAAACATAAAACAAATAATTTATGAAGAATAAAATATTAACCTTGGTGTGGTATTCATATAATCATTGGTATTAGTGCCAGGAATAATAAATGGAGGGAAACAGCAACCAATTAATAAGGTATGTATATTTCCCCTAATTTATTTCTTTCCAGATTAACGCAGGTCTTTATTTTAGAAAAACAAAACAAGGAAATTACCTATTTGTTTTAAGATGAAGACTTTGCAGCAATGACATGTAAAACTCAGATGAATAGTTAGAAAGGAAATAACGATCTTGTCACAATTATTCTTCAAGATTTATACTAGTTTCTGGAAGCCTCAAATACTAGGAATTCAAAGCACAACTGTATGCTATCAATAACAAGTATACAACAATACTATAGTATATATACTACAAATAACACAAATAGAACCAAGTTTATGCCCATTTCTCATCATGACAAAAGGCATTAGCAAGAATCATGACAAAACCACTGTTAATGGGCAAGAACCTAAATCTCATGTCTGGAGAACGCAAGAAGGAAATAGGTGTGAAACATGTGCTACATATTTTCTGAAATCCTTTCTAAAGGATTTTTGTTCCTAAGGAGCACTGCATGCAAAGAGGATCATTTGTTTCTCAGGAGTACATTTGATCTTCTCCATCATTCCTCAGTTGTTATTTATCCTAAACATCTTTCTGGGAATGGATTGTTTGGAGAAACCAATCCAGCTGACATCTCTGCCCCAAAGCACAGAAGGAGCAGTCCCTTCTCCTGTATTCTTAGTTTGATTAACGTATCTGTTTTATGAAAAATTCAAATTACTGATTCCTTTCCACAGCATCTTTCTTGTCTGTTCTATGCACTTCAGGTAATTGCAGGGCATATTCAACATGTGCTATGCCTTCAGTTCAAGCATGCACATTATTTTTTCGTTCCCAGCTTCTGAAAAAAGTCTGACTTTTTCTTTTTTTTTTGTTATTAGAATTTCCTCAAGTAAAAATACAAGGAAGCTACCTACGTGCACAACTGAAGCTCTGGCATTCTGCACTGCTGCAGTCCATTACAAGAACAATTTCAAATACTATATATTAGCCTCTGTACTAGGAAGCTTTCAGATAGAGCCAGCCTTGATCTTACCTGTCCTGTATCCTGTGTTGTTGAGGTACACTGCAAATGTACGTATTTCATGCTGAGCCTGCCAGGACGGAGAAGAACAGTTCTCATTGTTAGTGTAAGTGTTGTGGTTGTGAACATACTTCCCAGTAAGAATAGAGGAGCGAGATGGGCAGCACATGGGTGTTGTCACAAAGGCATTGATGAAATGAGCACCTCCGTGTTCCATGATCCGCCTTGTTTTATTCATCACTTGCATAGAACCTGGAGGAAGAAAACCATCGCAGAATTATTTTCTTGTTTCAGTCACAAGAGCTAACAAAGAGCTCATGTGTTACATCAGAGGCCAGAATGAAGCACAGGTAGTAAGGGCACTATAATCTCATAGTGAACCCAAACCCAAAGAGATTATTCTCCCCCCTCTAGCAAAGTTCTCCCGTTGTTTTAAGAAGGACCAAATACTGAAATCTTAAGATTTGACTCAAACCTGTCGACATAGATCATAATGCTTTTTTAATTTCTCTTTCTCTAAGCTCAGTATTTACCACTGTGACTACCTGCACTATCTGTGCAGCCTTTTTGGAGTCACTAACACTGTTCCAGTAGCTGAAGGCAAGAACCAGCATGAATTAGGCTGAGACAATGGGGTCTGAGAGTGAAATTCACTTTGTGCAGCAACCCTGACCGAAGTTTCCACACTCCTTAAGCATTATTTAATCCTTGGTTTCAGAAGATACCTGATGCACTGCCTTTCATGCCAACCTTCTGCAAAAGGCCGAGGGTTGTAATCACAGAACCATTGAGATTGAAGGGATGCCTGGAGATTATTTAGTCCAACCCCCTGCTCAAACAGGGTCTGCTTCTCTAGGTAGAATGTTCTTTTCCCTAATGTTAGGTACTAGCAGGTATTGATTTCTTTAACTTTCACTTAACCAAAGACAAAGTAAAGCCCTCATAATAATTTCCATAACCAATCCACTGAGTTCTATCTATCTATCCACTGGATTCATTTTTATAATAGTGTTACCTAAAACTCTTTTCTGTTTCCTATTTGACAGAAGGCTTTGGACAAAGACTAAATCTTTACCATAGAGATCCACCAAGCTAAATCTGGATCCATATCAGAGTTCTTCCTACACACAGAAACACCAAGGATCAGAAGAAAAAAGACATTTAGTTTCCCTCATCTATCAGTGCCTGAGAGTTAGAACTGCATCAGACTGAGTTACACTTGACCTAGGAAGAACTTCCATTTTCCATAGAACTGTAATGACACCTGTCATCAGCATGACCTCGCAAAGGAGAGCAAACCTTTCCATCGCCAACCCTCCCTTCTTGTTATGAGCAAGGAAAACCAACAGGCAACATGAAAATGAAGGTATAGGTTCATGCTGGAGTAGGGTTGGGGCTAACTTACCCAAGCTTGAGTTGGATTAATAGTTCAGCTTTGATCAATGCATCCTGCAACCATCTGGCACAAACTACATATTGTTTCTGTCAGTAATGAGTTTAGGTTTCTTCTATAAGCTCTTTAGGCAGAGATTTCATTATGAAATTGCAACAGTAAGTCAGTTTGATACAGGGCACATTGACATAACCAGGAGTCAAAACGGTCATACGCCACATACAAAATCTGACTCTCTGGCACCAGGAAGGAGGGCTAATTGCTACTGTAGATCATTTCACCTAAAAATTGCCATGGTTTTAGTTCTCTTCACATCATTTTGTTGGAATGAATATTAAAAGAGTTAAAAAACACGTTTGTGCATTTCTCAGGTTAGAGCACCTCTCGGTCACATCCCTTTGTGACAAGAACCAAGGCAGGTTACTGCATTCCTCCTTTAGAACTTGCTAAAGTTCGCATATGAAAAAGAAGTTTCTGAAGAAATCAAGATTTTTTGTTTCCATAACTGTGGGATAAGCGTCAGTGCTCAAAGGCACTAACAACACAGTCAACAATTATAACAGTCAATTATACGTTATGTGAGCCTGAAAACCGTGGACGTTTCCTCTGTGTTGTCTTATGAGCTAGCCCAAGCATAAATAGGCAGACTGAAAGAATGTTTTGTCATCCCAATATTAAAATACAACTTAACAACCCCTTTAAATGACAGAGGCATCTGTGCATAAATAACAGTACATGTTAAGACTCCCCTTGGGGACAGTAACCTCCTTTAATAAAACCGTTGTAATGACAAGGCCCTATATATCAACAGTCTTTAATACAAAAACATATGATCTAATCTGCTTCTCCAGCTTGAGAACTAATACAGAGTGACAGATCAGTGGAAGGTAAAAATCCAGCACTCTTCTGTACAATCTTAAATAGGCCAGCTTTAAATATTTTAAACAGTATTAAACCAGCCAACCAAAACTTATTTTCTTCAGCTTGCCTCCAATCCAAACACAGAATTGTGAGAAAAAGTAGAAACTGATCTTTCTGTGGCAAAAGATTAGTTATGTGTTAATCAGCAACTGGAACCTCACCAAATCACCTTTTGAATTGGAAAACCTTCTGTGGTTTCATTAGTGGATGTACCAAGGGAAGTCATGCTTTGAAGTGTCAATATTTAATTCAGAAAATGTTCTGTTACCAGTGTAAAGTGACTGATAATAAATAAAAATGATTTAGTCTCAGCTATTTAAAAAAAAATAATCCACTGGACTAGAGTGAAAATATGAAAGTTTAATCAATTTGATGCATTCAGGCTGCTCACTGAACAAAATGAAGCAAAACCCAAGTTGAAAGTCCACTTGAAATTTGTGTGGTACCCGTAACTTTGCTTAGTGTGTATTTGCAGTTCACTTTAGGGACAGCGTTGATATTTTTACTAATATTAATGGAGAAAACATACTAGTTGTTTATGAAATAATATTGACTTTCTCATTCTTTGTGTTTTGTTGTCAGAGGTCATAATTTACATGAATTTTTGGGAGCTCCAGCTGTTGAAGAACTTGTATTAAGGCCCAAGTGAATTAGTCTACTCTGAAGCACAATTTAAGAAGTAGTATCCATATGCAGATAAGTTAACTGTACCCCAGAATGTTAATTAACTGTCCCCTAAAGCCTTCTATTTTTATCCTATTTGAAACTCATTAGACACACTTTTCACATCTTCATTTCCTTTTTTTTCCCCTCATATTTAATTTTAACGAAGATCTAAGGCCCTAATCTCCATGTATGATAACTAAGAAAAATTATCTTCCATGCCACATCTGTAGTTTTTCAGAGGAAGATGTAGGAACATACAAATCATCTCTCACTCAGATTTCTCTAACATGGCTGAAATATCTTCTAAATAATCAGGTCTTTCTCCAACTATGAGATAATGAAATAAGCTCGTTTGTTAAATGACAGCAATATGGTAGGCAAACCTAATTAAACCGGAGATGCTGAGTCCATCACACAGGGGACATCAGCTTTATATGAACTTGGACTTAAATGGCTCTAATGGGGAAAAAAAAAAGTCTTCGTTTCTAATTAATTCTTTCTCCTCGTCAGTATATTCCTCTTTATATTCTGCTTGTCAGTACAACTCTTTTGATTAGACAGTCAACTGAGTGTGTATGTTTCAGTAGTTCTTGGTGTTCTCATTTGTCTTCTCTCATTTGTATCCATTACAATTTACACTCGTTCTCCTTTGACCTGGATATTCTGCATCCTTTTCATCGGCTCCTCATCAGTCTTTTCCCTTTTTTAAATTCAAGGCTGAAGTTTGGTTTCCCAAGTAAAACTCATGACTAACAGTAGTACAAATTAAAAAAAAAAAAAAAAAAAAATCAAACAAACAACAAAAAACCAAAACAAAAACATTTACTCTTTTTCTGAAAGGATGACATTCTGGTAAACTCCACCTGCTACTGCTGCATTGTTAAATCTATCTTAAATTAAATAAAGGAAAGGCTGTTAAGAGCACTTGAAATTGTGTTGTCTTCCCTTTTGCCTCAGAAGTAGCCACAAAAGAACAACGAACTACAACACCCATCAGTTAAGAATATTCTTAGAAACAGATGACTTCTTAGTTATGCACAGCTTTCTCTGCTACACTTTCATAGCTTCCAAGTTTTCCGTAGCTTTTATAATTCACATCTTGTTTTCATCTTTCTTAAATGCATTAACCACAATCCCCACAAATGGCAATTTTGATTAACTTGGACAGCTCACCAGACAAAAGACAAGAATAAAAATTAATTCAAACAAATATTGGGTCTCACAAAGCCATTAGTGGCAAATGACGAATATCAAATCTCAGCTTCATCAAATGGATTTTCCTTAGTTAGATCCTAATTTGTGTGGACACATGCCCATTATGCTTGAAATTGGAAAGCATCAGATTATCAGAGAAGAGAAATATACTGCCCAAAGGACCTAGACAATTGCATCAGAAACAAGCAGGCTAGCATAAAATAGAAGATGATAAATTTTTTAAGACCACCTTCTGAGTGTGCAAGATAATGTACTTGGGTTCTTTTCGATATACGTTATTGAAACTGCTTTATTTGTGATCCAAATAACCATTTAAAAAAAAAAAGTGCCAATAACAACTCTTCTGATCCTACTAATTTGAATTACATTTGTACTTAGTGGGGTTACTACCATAGCAGGCTTTCTCACCACACTTGAGAAGAATGTGACATCCGTGATACTGCAGACATGCAGTAATGCTGATAAAAAGGAAGCATCTGTAAGAATACTGCCCCATCACTGTGATTAACTTCTCAGCTAGATGAGTAAGTGTATAAGTAATACAAGTTGATTAACTTTACTATTGTATTCTTTTTCTTCTGTGAGGTCTGTTTTCCAACTTTTCCCATCCATACTAGAAATTTGATGCAGTAACTGTCAGAAAAACCCACCAGACCACACATATATAAGCTCTCATCTTTCAAATGATCCAGTCTTTATACTCAACTTAAAAGCATATTTCTAATGCAAAATTATTTATGTAAACTGGTTCACGTTAATCACTTCTAACTACAGACAACATTTGGTAAATATAAGCTTGTGCAGGTAACAGAACAAAACCCAAACTCCATCAGTTAATTCATTATTCCAAATCATTAGGCAAAGTGTGTGTTTAATCTTCATCTCTTTTCTTCAACAATTAACATAGCATTGAATAACACAGTAGAACCTTTTCATACTAAGCGATTTTGGTCAGTAATTAACTACACCTCTAAATGGACAATACCAAGAATAGTATGACTACGTTGGGTAACATTTAAGTCATTAAAATTAAAATTGTATATGTAATGAATGTCTGCAATTACAGAAAAAAAATTGGGTAATTACATGGTGCAATAATCAGTTATGAATTTAATCCTCCTGCTTTGGCACGTAGCTTCCCAGGTTATACTTGTAATTGCCAGAAGCATAGTTTAGGGGTGTAGATGAAGACAGATAGGCAGGAATCTCATTATTTCCCCAGAAACAGGAAGTTTGATATTTTAAGTTGAGGCTAACTTTTGCTGTCCTTGAATTGCACGCAGACAGAAAGTATTTTCTACATAAAGGTAGGTTTAAACTTTTGCTACTTGTTCTTCCTATCCTTTTTCACACTGGAAAAAAATAATTATTTTGAATGCAGGAATCAAGCTTTAAGGAAAAGCAGTGCCACGCTTGTTAGCTAAAATTCACTTTATGTTAGGCTCTTACCAAGTTCTACATCCTGATCATCAGTAAGAACAAGGATGATGTTTGGGCGGATGTTTCTACGATCTCTTTGAAATCTTCCCTTCAGATGCTGATTTAACAGGAAAGCTGAACTTCCATCCAACAGTGATAAAACAGTCATCATGAATAATCCAAGGACAATACTATGCTGTGCCATATTGTGCTGATTTAGTGTTCTCTCTGAACAAGGTAGGTTAATGGCTTCTATTTCTTTTTTGTTTGCAGGTCTCCTGTAAGGAAGAGGGAAACAAGTATTTATTTATACCTTGACCCCCCTGCCCGGCCAGGGAACAGCAAGGTTCTCTCCAAAGAATTAAAAAGCAATATACTTGAAATAATCTAACTCCTATGAAAAAAAAAAAGCGATAAACAAAACAAGAAAGCAACTGAATGTTTTTCTAGTATCAGCTAGAAACAAAGACATGAAAAATTCACAGTTCATAAGCTATTACCAACGTAGACAACGAAGTTCCAACTCCATGCTCAAATTTGGCAGCAAGTTCAAGGATTTAGCAGGGTATCAAACTCTTTCTTTGATACATATTAAAAGCAATCTTCTTCCTTAAGGTTCTGGGATGTTTTGAAGATGACATTTTTGTTTACTGCCTCAAAAATGCAGATGTTGAAGGAAAAACCCCACATCTATCCTTATTTTTAAACAGGCTTGTGGTAAAATTTACTGAGTTAACAACACGTTTACAAATTCATAGAGGATTCTCAGACAGAAGACTTGTTATACATTGATTTATCTTACAAATTTGATTAGAGAGCAGAGCTGCCCAGATCTTGGAACTATGGCATGGTACTGTTTGAAGTCTACTACGGCTTTGATGTCAGCATGATATCCCTTCAGCATTTCTGTTGGTTTCCAAGATTATTATTATTTTTTAAAAAATATCATTATTATTAATGAACATATTTGAAGACCCACTACTGCAAATGTTTGGGCATGGATGTACCAAAAAGATTTGCACTGCCTAACGACTTCTCTCCGTCATAAATACAATGCCCCAAAATTGACTTGTTTGCAAAACAGAGCACGTCTAACTGGTACTGCTCCTGTTAATGAGCCAATAAAAAATTCTTATCAATTCCTACATGAAAATTCCCAAAAATGAATGAGCGTGCTGAAGAATTTTTGAAATAATAGTTTTGCTCAGTGGTCTTCTGGTATAAGGGGATTTTCTCTTGCTTTCAGAAGTCAAAATAACAGTATGAAACTGTATTGAAAATATCAAGTACTAACTATTTCATCAGATCCAGTGATCAATGAGTCAGTTTTTGATTAATTCCCTACTTGCTGCCTGCCTTTTCCTGGACTGGTGCCAACAATCCCTTGTAATGCAGTGAAAAATCAATTAAAAATGACACAAAGGAAACTATCTGCTTTTTGTAAAGATTAGAAATGCCTGAGTAGAAAGAACTTAGCACAGCGTGTTTTACCCAAAGAAATACACTGGCTATTCTGTCCCTAAAGTCACTGGGGAAAACAGTTTTTCCTCCAGCAGATTATTTCATAGCCACATTATTACTTCATCTCTGTCAGCGTCTGCTCTTTGAGATAAACTTTGATTAAGAAAATTCTCATGTAATAGCAAAACCACTGGTCTGAAAAATTATACTCAGCTTCTATGCTTATTTAAGAAACGCATATTGAATTTTTGTAAAAGTCAACAGATATGTAGCTACAGTATGATGCAACATTTATTGAGGCTGCTTTCCACTAAGGTATACTAATAGTGTTTTGAGGAAACAAAAAATCCTTCTTCCTTACTATTGTCTCCAGTGAGTTTCACAGGCAGGTGAAATTAACTTTTTTCATAGCAACTAAAAATTGATTTTAAATATCCTAGCACTTGTTCCAGTGGGTAGGG